TCAGTGAGCTGAGATCGCGCCATTGCACTCCAGCCTGGGCGACAGAGCAAGACTCTGTCTTGAGAAAAAAAAATAATAATAATAAATAAAGGAAAAGACTGAAAGCAATGTGAAATAAATGAACTTAAGTATGTATCAAATTGGTAACGTAAGTACCCCCCAAAATAAATTATTTCATGTTACATTTTTTTTTTTTTTTTTTTTTTTTTTGAGACGGAGTCTCACGCTGTTGCCCAGGCTGGAGTGCAGTGGCGCGATCTCGGCTCACTGCAAGCTCCGCCTCCCGGGTTCCCGCCATTCTCCTGCCTCAGCCTCCTGAGTAGCTGGGACTACAGGCGCCCGCCCCCGCGCCCGGCTAATTTTTTGTATTTTTAGTAGAGACGGGGTTTCACTGTGGTCTCGATCTCCTGACCTTGTGATCCGCCCGCCTCGGCCTCCCAAAGTGCTGGGATTACAGGCTTGAGCCACCGCGCCCGGCCCATGTTACATTTTTGAAAGTTTTTTTAGGTAAAGTGTACATACTGCACAGAACTTAAAAGTAAAATTAGGGCCAGGTGCGGTGGCTCATGCCTGTAATCCCAGGGCTTTGGGAGGCTGAGGTGGGCGGATCTCTTGAGGTCAGGAGTACCAGACTAGCCTGGCCAACATGGTGAAACCTCGTCTCTATAAAAATTTTTTTAAAAAGCCAGGCCCGTGGCTCACATCTGTAATCCCAGCATTTTGGGAGGCCAAGGCAGGCGGATCACCTGAGGTTAGGAGTTCAAGACCAGCCTAACGAACGTGGAGAAACTCTGCCTCTACTAAAAATACAAAATTAGCCGGGCGTGGTGGTGCATGCCTGAAATCCCAGCTACTCAGGAGGCTGAGGCAAGAGAATCGCTTGAACCTGAAAGGCAGAGGTTGCCGTGAGCTGAGATCGCGCCCCTGCACTCCAGCCTGGGCGACAGAGTGAGACTCTGCCTCAAAAAAAAAAAAAAAAAAAAAAAGTCTTCATTTATGGTTACTCATTTCACTGCAACCTTCGCCTCCCAGGCTCAAGCGATTCTCTTGCCTCGGCCTCCCAAGTAGCTGGGATTACAGGCTCATGCCACCATACCCGGCTAATTTTTTGTATTTTTCATTTTTTTTATTTTTTATTTTTTGAGACGGAGTCTTGCTCTGTCACCCAGGCTGGAGTGCAGTGGCGCGATCTCGGCTCACTGCAAGCTCTGCCTCCTGGGTTTACGCCATTCTCCTGCCTCAGCCTCCCGAGTAGCTGGGACTACAGGCGCCCGCCACCTGGCCCGGCTAGTTTTTTGTATTTTTTAGTAGAGACGGGGTTTCACTGTGTTTGCCAGGATGGTCTTGATCTCCTGACCTCGTGATCCACCCGTCTCGGCCTCCCAAAGTGCTGGGATTACAGGCGTGAGCCACCGCACCCGGCCGCAGTTCAACTATTTTAAATCACTTCATTTAGAGTAGCTTTGTATGAGATATAGATCTCATACCATACAATTCACCTATAGTGTACAATTCAATAGTTTTCAGTATTTCAGAGAGTCGTGCCACCATCACCCCAAAAAGAAACCCTGTATCTACTGGCAGTCACTCCCCATCAGGACTTTATCACTTCTGATCTGGCTCAGTCTTCTCCTTGTCAATGCCCTCCTTGTTCCAGTTCAGTACACACACCACGGGCAATTTGCTCTCCCTAAAACATATTGTATCCTCTCTCCTACATACCTTCCGATACTCCTCCAAAGAACTCTTGGATTCAAGTAAACAAACATCCATTAACACAAGTATGTTCCAGGCGCTGTGCTAGGTACTGTTAACAAAAACGGGTTAGTATTGTTAGGACTTCCTTCATGCCGTGGCACTTCTGCTCAGCCAGCTCCCTTCGCCCAGGACCTCTCTATACGACCCCGCTATATCCCCTCCCCGGAATTCCTTCCCAACCTTCAAGGACCATCTGCCCCAACTAGTGGCGAACACCGCGGCTGTAGTGACTGTGTAGATACTTATTTGACCACTTGAAACTCAACACATGTTTGTGGAACTGAACATAGGCTGTGTACGCACTAAGGCTTCTTTCCCTGGAATCGCCAGCCCACCAACCAGCCGGTCAGAATCCCAATCCCTCGACTCCAGAAATTATTTGGGAGACGGAATTTCCGAACGTCAGCAATCATAGATTTGGACGGGCTAGGAGGGTTTGGGTCTTCAGGTCACATCTGCGCGGAGAGACCTCCGGCCTCGGTGGTCGGTGCTTCCGCTCCGGATACCCTTCCGGTTCTCCGGTCGCCCAGGTCCCGCCCCGACGCCGGCCGTGACGAAGGCACGCTGGGGTGACCTCACCCTCCAACATGGCGGCGGCGGTAGATTAGGGCCGCGGGTCGGAGCCTTCACCGCCGCTGGGGGACCCTGTCGGAAGCAACCGCCGCCGCCGCCTCATTCATCTCTTCTGGGGCAGGGGCCAGGGCCAGGTGAGGGGAGTGGGGTTCCGGGAAGGCTGAGCTGTGTGAGGAGGTGGTTTTCACCTGGGTAGGAAAGTGCCCAGAGACCGTATCGAGCCACCGGCTGACTCCCCAGTGGTTCCGACGACGCGTGAGTTTGAGTGTGTGTCTGCACCGGCGCTCCTTCGCCCGAAGGTGCTCGGAACTTAGGGGTCCGCTTCACCCAGACCGGACCTGGCCGCCCGGCCCCGCCGCTGAGCAGGCTTCTCCCGGCGTGGGGTGCCGGAGGCGGAGGAGCTCGGCCCTGGCTCCACGCCGCTGTCCTTCCCCACAGACAGCTTCACGTGGAAAACCCGGGTCCATTTTTAGGGCTAAACTGGGGAACGGCGACTTCTTTTTGGTTGAGGGAAAGGTTTTCCTGCGATTCCCTTAGGACACTTGAAGATTATCTTTGCCAGTCTTAGTCGTTTCTTTTCAGAGATTGTTAGAAGTCTTGTTTCTTAACCTTAATTCACTGCTGTTCTGACACCCATTCTTTTTTCGGAAAAAAAACTGCCTTCTTGCCCTTGGAGGCAATACAGTTCACATGGAGACATTTTTCCCCTTTGATTTATCCTCCCAACATTCTGTAAAGATCCTGTTTTTTGCTTTCATAACCGACTTTTTGAGTGGAGGCTCTAACCTAGCGTTGAAAATCGGACGGATCTGTCCAGTTGTTCCCATGCTGTTGACTGATAGCTTTGGTTAGCTCCCAGCCACTCCCTGCACAAGTGTTTGTTTATCCAAAATAGCTATCTCACTGTCTCTGTTTAGAAGTTGTGAACTAAGCTGACAGCCCTCTCTCCTTACTTTTATTTTTTTGTTGTTGTTGTTGTTACGTAAAACAAAACAAAAACTTCTATAGCGAAATTGTAAGATTTCCCCTGGAGGTTTAGTATAAAGCAGAATGTTGCTCTCTGCCCTGACTTGTGTGACCTTGGATGAGTTAGTTGCCACACCCTTCAGATACATTCTTTCTTTTTTTCTTTTCTTTTTTTTTGAGACAAGAGTTTCACTCTTATTGCCCAGGCTGGAGTGCAATGGCTTGATCTCGGCTTACCGCAACCTCCGCCTCCTGGGTTCAAGCGATTCTCCTTCCTCAGCCTCCGGAGTAGCTGGGATTACAGGCATGCGCCACCACGCCTGGCCCATTTTGTATTTTTAGTAGAGACGGGGTTTCACCATGTTCGTCAGGATGGTCTCGAACTCCCAACCTCCGGTCATCCACCCGCCTCGGCCTCCCGAAGTGTTGGGATTACAGGTGTGAGCCACCATGCCGGGTGATACTTTCGTTTTTACAACCCCCCCATGAAGTATTCTTTTCATTTTTAGCCCCCTGTCTCCCCCAAATGAAGCATTCTTCATTTGGTAATAGGCAGTTAAAGGTATTGAAAATCTTTTTACTCTGAATGGTCAGGTACTATTCTGTATTTTTTTTTCCAATGGCTCATTTTTTATGTGGAAGAGTATATTCAGTAGTTGGATTCACTTTTTATTTTATTTTAAGCTGTCTCCTACAGCAAGGACCAGTAGTTGAATTCAATTGAAAGATGTCTAAGGCTATATCCAACCAGTCTTGTAAAAAAACAGACTTGTGTTTACTAGCACATAATCTAATAAACATTTATTAAATATCACACACACTAAGCTTTTAGGACAAGTGGTTTGCAACAGTAATAATCATTATTAAAAGCATTTTATTTGACTGTATGCGATGGCTTATTATAATCCCAGCACTTTGGGAGGCTCAGGCAGGAGCATTGCTTGAGCCCAGGAGTTCGAGACCAGCCTGGGCAACATAAGGAGACCTTGTCTTCACAAGAAATTAAAAAAATAAAATAAAATAAAATTAGCTAGGCATAGGTCCCAGCTACTTGGAAGACTGAGGCGAGAGGGAGGGCTGCTGTGAGCTGCGATTGCTCCACTGTACTTCAGTCTGGGTGACAGAGAGAGACCCTGACTCAAAAAATATATATATATTTATTCATTAAATATACGTGTATATATATATATATTTTCGAAATGGAGTATCACTCTGTCGCCTAGGCTGGAGTGCAGTGGCGCGATCTCGGCTCACTGCAAAGTCTGCCTTCTGGTTCACACCATTCTCCTGCCTCAGCCTCCCGATTAGGTGGGACTACAGGCGCCCGCCACCACGCCTGGCTAATTTTTTGTATTTTTTTAGTAGAGACTGGGTTTCACTGTGTTAGCCAGGATGGTCTTGATCTCCTGACCTCGTGATCTGTCTGCCTCGGCTCCCCAAAGTGCTGGGATTACAGGCATGAGCCACTGTGCCCGGCCTAAATATATATATATGTATATTTTATTGTGAAATACTTTAGGCATACAAAACACACGTTTTAAACATTCACTTAGTAGTTCCAGTCTGCATTTATCATTTTTCAGACAGGATTTTGATTTGTATCTTATTCCAAGTAAATGTTCACCAAGAGTTCTTGTTTAATATATATACAGAGTAGGGGTGGGTAGCATTTTCAGATTAGTTTATTTTTTTTTATTTTTCCTCCTCAGATGGTAATGTGCCAGTGAGCCCAAGAGGTAACATGGTTTGAGGGAGTCATATGTCACGCATTAGCATGAAACCCAGTTCTTTATGAACCACAAAAGGATCGGAGTAGCTGATTTTTTTTTAGCAACTTTATTGAAATATAATTAATATACCATCCAACTCACCATTGTACAGTTCACTGCTTTTTAGTATATTTACAGAGTTGTACACCTACCACCACAATCATTTTCATCACTTCAAAAAGAGACTCCCATACCCATTAGCAGTCATTCTTTATTACTGGCCCCTCTACTCCCACCTCTGGCAACCACTGATCTACTTTCTGTGTCTATGGATTTGCCTATTCTGGAGATTTCACATAAATGGGATCACATAATACATGTTTTTTTTTTCTTTGTGAGCCACCGTGCCCGACCCATATGTGGTCTTTTGTGTCTGGCTTCTTCTTTTCTTTTCTTTTTTTTTTTTTTTTTTTTTGAGACAGAGGCTCACTCTGTCGCCAGGCTGGAGTGCAGTGGCCTGATCTCACTGCAACCTCCGATTCCCAGGTTCAAGCGATTCTCCTAACTCAGTCTCCTGAGTAGCTGGGATTACAGGTGGGCGCCACCACACCCCGCTAATTTTTGTATTTGTCGTAAAGACAGGGTTTCACCATGTTGGCCAGGCTGGTCTCCAACTCCTGACCTCAGGTGATCTTGACCTCCCAAAGTGCTGGGATTACTGGTGTGAGCCACCACACCCTGCCTGTCTGGCTTCTTTCACTTAGCATAATGTTTTCAGAGTTTATCCAAGATGTAGCGTGTATCAGTACTTCATTCCTTTTTATTGCTGCATTATATTCCATGGTATGGACATAGCACATTTTAAAAATCAGTTCATGGACAGGTTTTTTTTTTTTTTTTTTTTTTTTTTTTTTTTTTTTGTGAGATGGAGTCTCACTCTGTCACCCAGGCTGGAGTGCAGTGGCGTGATCTTGGCTCACTGCAAGCTCTCCCTCCCGGGTTCACGCCATTCTCCTGTCTCAGCCTCCCAAGTAGCTGGGACTACAGGCGCCCTCCACCACGCCTGGCCAATTTTTTGTATTTTTAGTAGAGACGGGGGTTCACTGTGTTAGCCAGGATGGTCTCCATCTCCTGACCTCGTGATCCGCCCACCTCGTCCTCCCAAAGTGCTGGGATTACAGGCGTCAGCCACCATGCCCAGCCAGTTTTTTTTTTTTTTTTTTTGAGATGGCGTTTCACTCTTGTTGCCCAGGCTGGAGTGCAATAGCGCCATCTCAGCTCACCGCAACCTCTGTCTCCTGGGTTCAAGCGATTCTCCTGCCTCAGCATCCTGAGTAACTGGGACTACAGGCACACACCACCATACCCAGCTAATTTTTTTTGTATTTTTTGTAGAGATGGGGTTTTGTCATGTTGCCCAGGCTGGTCTGAAATTGTTGGACTCAAGTGATCCTCCTGCCTCTGCCTCCCAAAGTGCTGGGATTATATGCATGAGCCACCACGCCTGGTCTGTAATGCTGCTTTGAGCATTCATGTGCAAATTTTTGTGTAGACATGTGTTTTCATTTTTCTCTGGTACATATCTAGAAGTGGAACAGAGTAACTGAATTTTATGTTCTCATTTTACACAAGCCATATACAGGAAGCCTCATTATTGTGAAAGTCAGATTATTTAGGACAGGATGAAAGTAAGGCAGTCGTCTGTGAATTATCTGCAAATGCCAACGTCTAAGTGAAAATATTTTTGGGTAGCTCTTAACACAGGATTGAACAATTAGGCCTGTTTTAATTGGAAAGGGAGTAGAACTAGAGTTCTAGTGTCTGGTGGGTTTTAAAAATGATACTTGTCCAGTTGCATTTTTCAGATGGGTGGGGTGAATATTTTGCCATTTCATAATTTTTTTTTGAGATGGAGTTTCACTCTTGTGAGGTCTTCACTCCCGACCTCAGGTAATCCGCCCACCTTAAGCCTCCCAAAGTGCTGGGATTACAGGTGTGAGCCACCGCACCTGGCCATTTTGTAATTTTTATTAGGATTATTTTACACTCTTTCAGAGAAAGTCCTAGAATTCAGTAGGAGCTGGTAAAGCATGGATTAGAAAATAGCTTTGGACTCCATGTTAACTTGTGGAACCTAAAAAAAATTCCCTATTCAAGCCACCGGTGAGTGATGAGACTAAAGAGCTGATAACCAAGAAACTTAATTTTTTTTTTTTTTTTTTTTTTTGAGATGGAGTCTTGTTCTGTCACCCAGGCTGGAGGGCAGTGGCCTGATCTCCACTCACTGCAAGCTCCCCCTCCCGGGTTCACGCCATTCTCCTGCCTCAGCCTCCCGTGTAGCTGGGACTACAGGCGCCTGCCACTGCGCCCGGCTAATTTTTGTATTTTTAGTAGAGACGGGGTTTCACCATGTTAGCCAGGATGGTCTGCATCTCCTGACCTCGTGATCCGTCCGTCTCGGCCTCCCAAAGTGCTGGGATTACAGGCGTGAGCCACCGTTCCCGGCCCAAGAAGCTTAATTTTTGTTGTTGTTGTTGTTAAGTTTGCTTTTTTATTTAATTTTAATTTTATTTATTTATTTATTTTTTGTGATGGAGTCTCACTCTGTTGCCCAGGCTGGAGTGCAGTGGCGAGATCTCAGCGTACTGCAAGCTCCACCTCCCAGGTTCAAGCAATTCTCCTGCCTCAGCCTCCCGAGTAGCTGAGATTACAGGCGCCCACCACCACGCCTGGCTAATTTTTTGTATTTTTAGTAGAGACAGGGTTTCACCGTGTTAGCCAGGATGGTCCCGATCTCCTGACCTCGTGATCCGCCCACCTTGGCCTCCCAGAGTGCTAGGATTACAGGCATGAGCCACTGCGCCCAGCCTACCTTTTTATTTTGAGACAGAATCTCACTCTGTTGTCCAGGCTGGAGTGCAGTGGTGCGATGTCGGTTCATTGCAACCTCCGCTTCCTGGGTTCAAGCGATTCTTCTGGCTCAGCCTCCTGAGTAGCTGGGAATGCAGATGCACGCTACCACACCCTGCTTATTTTTGTATTTTTAGTAGAGATGGGGTTTCACCATGTTGGCCAGGCTGGTCTCAAACTCCTGACCTTAGGTGATCTGCCTGCCTGGCCTCCCAAAGTGCTAGGATTACAGGCGTGAGCAACTTCGCCTGGTCTATTAATGTTTAAAATTACAGATTTTTGATTTGCGATGGATTTATCGAATGTGAATTTTTATTTTTTTCTTTATAAACTGGGATTATAGTTGTGTTCAACTCTGTATTATTGGAGTATTTAATAATTCTTTTTTTTTTTTGAGATGGATTCTTACTCTGTCACCAGGCTGGAGTGCAGTTTCACTATCTCAGCTCACTGCAACCTCTGCCTCCCAGGTTCAAGCGATTCTCCTCTCTCAGTCTCCGAAGTAGCTGGGACTACAAGCGTGTGCACCATGCCCAGCTAATTTTTGTATTTTTAGTAGAGACAGGGTTTCACCATGTTGGCCAGGATGGTCTCGATCTCCTCACCTTGTGATCCGCCCGCCTTGGCTTCCCAAAGTGCTGGGATTACAGGCATGAGCCACCACACCCGGTTTAGGAATGTCTTTTTTAAAAGGCATCCAAGGTAATTTGATGGGACAAGTTTGGGAAACATACAAAAGACTTTCATGTTGCTGCATGTTTGCTTTACATAAGAACTAATAGTAGGTTTTTTTGTTTTTTTTTTTGAGACAGAGTCTCCCTCTGTCGCCCAGGCTGGAGTGCAGTGGTGCAATCTAGGCTCACTGCAACCTCTGCTTTCTTGGTTCAAGTGATTCTCATGCCTCAGCCTCCTGAGTAGCTGGGATTACAGGGACATGCCACCATGCCTGGCTAATTTTTATATTTTTAGTAGAGATGGGGTTTCGCCATGTTGGCCAGGCCGGTCTCCAAATCCTGGCCTCAAGTGATCCAGCCACCTCAGCTTCCTAAAGTGCTGGGAAGTATAGGCATGAGCCCCCGTGCCCAGCTTATAGTAGGATTTAATAGCTGCTGTGTACCTTCTGATTATGTTTCATAAAATGTGTCTAATTCCTATAATATAATCAGCACTGGTAGCATTCTGGAACTTGGACTGGTACTTGTAATAGAAATCTAGTTTAAAAAAGAAAATAAGCCATATGTTGTAGAATTGTGGATGATACATATTTGTTGTTGAAGGTTCATGGATGTTTTACTTGTGGTTGGTTTTGGAGATGATGACAAATGAATACATAAACACAGCATGAGGTTACTCTAGGTTTCCTTAGGCTGTCTGGCTGGCTGCAGCCACAGTTAGCTTTCTTTATCCAGTTTCTATATCTCTGCAGATTCCACCAATCTCAATTGGAGAATATTTGGGGGAGAAAACACAAATAACTAAAAACAATACAAATGATACCAATACAGTATAACAGCTATTTAAATGGTATTTACATTGTGTTAGGTATTGTAAGTAATCTAGAAATGACTGAAAAGTATATGAGAAGAAGGAAGTGAGTAGGTTATACACAAATACCACACCATTTTGTATGAGGAACTTGAGCATCTGAGGATTTTGGAATCCGCAAGTATCCTGGAACCAATCCCATATGGGTACCAAGGGACAACTCTACTTGAAACTTAATAGAGGAACAAAGTGAAAAGAGTAAGGCACAGAAAGAAACAGATGGGTTACATAATATGTTTAATAGTTTGAATTGTACAAATTATAGCAGTTTCTGTTTTTTTTTTTTTTTTTTTTTTTTGAGACAGTTTTGCTCTTGTTGCCCGGGCTGGAGTGCAGTGGTGCGATCTCGGCTCACTGCAGCCTCCATTTCCCGGGTTCAAGTGATTCTCCTGCTTCAGCCTCCAGAGTAAATGGGATTACAGGCACCTGCCACCATGTCCAGCTAGTTTTTGTATTTTTTTTTTTTTTTTGAGACGAGTCTCGCTCTTGTGCAGGCTGGAGTGCAGTGGCGCGATCTTGGCTCACTGCAAGCTCTGTCTCCCGGGTTCACGCCATTCTCCTGCCTCAGCCACTCGAGTAGCTGGGACTACAGGCGCCTGCCATCAAGCCTGGCTAATTTTTTTGTATTTTTAGTAGAGACGGGA